AAGAATTTCGCGACGTCTCGCGTCGTTTCCTTGAATTCCAGGATGCATCCCTCCGTGTATCCGGCTGGATGCAGCTGGCAACTGGTCGGCAGAACGGTGCGATAAAAGGACAACAAAACGCCACGAGGCGTGACGATTAACTGAAACAACCGGCCCGACAATGGAGTAATCAGCGAGCTTTTCGACGCACCCATGCCCCCGCCCCGTCGCTGTTGGCGCACCCCACCGTGCCTCTTACCATTCGGCGTCGCGGGCCGTCGTTTTGTTGTCGCTTCAGCAATCGCAGCGATGATGCCTCGCGAGCTCTTTGTCCCGTCACGCGTTCTTTTCGACGCTCTGCTAAAGCCGGCGTCGCGTCGCCAGCCAAGAACGATCTGCTTCCAAGAAAAATATTAAGCTAACTCGCGAAAGCTCGCGAGCAATCAGCGTTACTCTTGCGCTGGTTTTGCTAATTTTTATACGAATTTGGAAGATTCAGAATGAATCACAGAGAGGAGTTGTTGCTCAGACGTTGAACACGGATGTGTAGAAGAAAATTATACGATTTGATCAAAATTTCAAATAGCAATGCGTCGAGTTTCCTTGTAAGCATCTGAAGATAAATAGACGTGAGCTAAGTTCTAGTTTTGGGGACATCTGAATATCCAATCTAGCCATAAAATTGATTCGAAAAATCTATCGACTAAATAGTCGAAATGAGGGAGGAAACAAACACAAACACTCGGTAATTGATCGAAGAAGACGAAGAAGAGGATTTCGCTGGAAAGAGGGAGCTTTCGCGACACGGTATCCCGAAATTAAGGAGCCGTCGGCGACGGGCCGCCGGAAAGCCGGATTGTTTCATTGATGAGGGAGCATTCAGGGCCGTAGTAGTCGCCGGGACCAAAGTGGGCACACCGTGAAAGGGGGGACGATGCCACGACGTTCACGAGTCCGCTTGCAACCCTCTTTCGGACCACGGTGCGCGATGAATGGTATAATCAGCGGTCGCGTGCCACCCCACGGCACGGAAGAGGAACCGAGACGATAACGGAAGGTGAGATGGATGAAGAGAGAACGACTGCTGATAGAGAAATTCCCTCCTCGGCCTGTCGTGCCTTTGCTATCATCGAAATCGAGACAGAAGCGAACGTGGAAAAGTCACTTAACATCCCCCTGCCTGCGTACACTCCTCTCTTTTTTGGCCCCAAGTCTTTTGGGGGTTTACCGTTGCCTCGTGTACGTAGATGACGAATTTCTGGCCAAGGAATGTTAGTATATTTGGATATTTATTTATTACGACCATGGTTCAATAGAACACGAAGAGTAGAGCATATTTGTAAAGGCGAACCACGATGCGAAAATTAGCATGCACTCGAATTATAAATTGCCTGCAACAATCAATCGAGCCGGAAACCATGTGGAGACGATTAGAAGAGCAATTAACATAACCGAACGTCCAGTAACGAAATCAAAGAATCTTAATTGTACGAAATAAATGTACATTACAGCCTGTGCAAAGAAAGTGAGATGGCGTTGAAATTAACGAGATCGAGATGTTACTAATTTACGAAGATACGTACGAAAAGCGATTAGAAGATTGGATAAATTTCTTCTATTTCGAGGCTGATATATAACACCTCTGAATTTCTCAGTTCTGTGACGAAACTTTCTGCAAAAAGAGGCGCGATGTTTGCCAGCGATACGGACTAATTGAAAGTGTCAGTGTACAGATAAGGGTTTCGTACAACGTCGAGTATGAAAAGGGACACGGTCCCCTTTTTCGAGGTCCTTTCTTCTCGTCGATGACCGATAAAAATCGCGTTCACGCCCTGCGAATGACGGAGAATGTGTAACGAGGGGTGATAAAGGAACGCTGGCAGAATGACAGTCGAGCGTGGCGATTCATTCACCACGATAATTCGAACCCTCGTTCGCGCTCCCTCTTTTCCGCCGATTCGTTTTCAGCTGTTCGCGCTTAAATTTCGCAGCAAATTTTTTTCTAATCTCTTATCGCTGCTGTCACTGCGTCAAAAAAAAGAAAACGATATCATCGATTTATGAATAATGAAAATATAATAGAATAATAAAAATAATCGGTTTTAAAGATAGTAAAAATATGCGAAGAAAATGTAAAAGGGAAACAATGAGAATACTTGAAATAATATTTAGAAATCGACCACCTTTCCCTCTGGCTTTCTCATTATTTCATTTTCTCGTCGACTTTTCTCTCGCCTGACATAGATACCCCCTCTTCACCCTGGCAGATGAATATTTCGGAACCGTCCGGAAATTCGATGGCAGCCACCGTACAGCCGTTTCTTTATGGAAGTTGGAATTCGCTGAGATGTTACCACTAACACACAGCCCTCTTGTCTCGTTTTATACCACCTCTCTTTATCGTCTTATCACTCGAGAGACGTCTTCAGCCCCGGCCGTGGCCCGCGCTCCCCCTCGACCGTTTCTTCCAGCAAGACATTGCCGGCACTGATAACATTTATTTCGAGAAATGGCCCGCTCGCTCCACGCTCGTACAACAGCCGAACAAAGCAGGAAAAAATTCTCTGTTCCACGCTGTGGTCGTCGCGAGAACTGGATGGTGTATTAACGAGGCCGTCAACGACGCTGAAGAATCGTCCATTTTTACGATTGATGATGCCTCTTTCAATTTTATCGATGATGTTCAAAAGAGGTGATATCCAAAATTTTCGCGAAGACAATTTACCGTCGAAAATTATAACCGACGCGAAGACACCTTGTCATAGCGAATATTGGAGTTCTCCTAACCCCTTACCTTGCCATATCGAGTTCAGTTTGTATCGAGCTTCTCGAGTCAAATTGCATAAAAATCGGTATAAAATTCGGATAAATTCAATGCGTTTTCAATGCACAAGATTTTAGAGTTAAATCATAGGGCAAAGGTTTAAAAAGAATTATTATTAGATGTCATAAATTCTTTTTCTATCTACATTATCACCTGCTCCCCGAATCTTATCTTCGATAAATAATACAAAAAGGTATTCGAATATCATCCATCTATATTTCTCATCCAATATCCTCCACGTTATCTATTCAAAAAATTACAAACTCGAGCAACTCTAATCAAAAGACTCCTCGACTAACAATCTACCCAAAGATTTCTAATTCTCAACGTCCCCATCGATTTCCAAGATCGTTGCCTTAAATCCAGCATACTCGAGACCAGGATCGAGTTCTGCCTCGCCCGCCTCGTGACGGACCTATTCTACTTACCACTCTGGGAATCAATTCTCGTAGTGATTGTCTCCGGGTAAAGCGTGGATGTCGGCCGGATGCAAGCTGACCATCGACGTCGACCAAAAAGGTCAGAAAAGCGGTAGTACGATAATCTGCGTAACAGACACACAGAGAGTCGCGGCCCGGCTAGCTGGGAACAGGCGCGAGAGAGGAGAGTGATAGGGGAACGAAGAGAGACGAAGAGACAGCACACCTCCACCTGTTGAACGCGCCTATATCCTCCGTCCGCCATGTCGACGAAGGAGCCAATCGTGGGTGTCCATTAGCCGTGGAATATGGTGGGAGAGGAGGAACATTCCTGGTTGGCCGATCCTTGTTTCCCCGCGTCCCACGGGACTCCGGCTACTCCACGGTCCCGATTCCTCCCTGGCTCATCCCAGACTCGACGTCAGAGAGGTCCTGACGGATCCTTGCCAGTCCTCGTCACGGTATCAATCACACTGCTTCACCACGGTACTCGTGTCGGTGCTGTTTCTTCCTGTTCGCCGAGGCGGATCGAATTTAATTGAATCGAACGGGAAGGATCGAATGGAGAGGTTTCGAGAAGCCGGCTCTTAGAAGATGTTTGCCGAGGAATGACATTGAAGAATGATCCCGTGAGTGGTTGATGGAATAAACACGGTAGAAAGGGTAGCCTACGCGCGAGTTTTTGGCATTCCGATTTGACGAGCGGCCTGTGTGAACGTTGCAGGACAATTATTCTGGTCGGTGCACGAAAGGATCGAAGAAGGAAGACGTTAATGACACGGGGTAGAGTTTCGTTGAATTTGCTTGAACTGTGATCGGA